GCCTAGAGTTGGAGAGACTAATATATATATATATTGCCTAGAGTTGGAGAGACTAATGAGATGTTCTCTGCGATCTAAGCACAAGATTTAAGCAGTAACTTAATTAATAATAATCATCCATGGGCCGGACGATACGGAGGAATCGGTTATGAGCAAACGTGTGGAAGTTTACACTAGGTCTACGAACACACCGTACCACCTTGCGGTGTTGAATTGCTACATAAAAAAAGTAAAAAGCCTTATTGACAGAGATGCTCACGTGAATGCTAAAAATGCATATGCACTGCATCTAGCCATCTTGCTGAGACACAAAGATATCGTAAAAATCAGGTTAGCAAATAGTGCCGATGTCAACTTGAAAATGGAAAGGGGAGAGATCCATGTTGCTGTGCGAGAAAGACAAGAAGAAATTTGCAACTTGCTACTTGAAGCAGAAGTTGACGTTCACGCCAAAGACGAAATCGGACTAACGGCGTTGCATCTAGCCATTGGGGAGACACACAAAGATATCGTACAAATCCTCATAGATCAGGGTACCAATGTCAACTTGAAAACTGAACATGGCGAGACACCGCTTCATTTTGCTGCAGAAATAGGACTAGAAGAAATTTGCAGGTTGCTAATCGAGAGAGGAGCTGACGTTCATGCCAAAAACGAAATCGGACTAACGGCGTTGCATCTAGCCATTCTGGAGACACATAAAGATATCGTACAAATCCTCATAGATCAGGGTGCCGATGTCAACGTGAAAACTGAATATGGCGAGACACCGCTTCATTTTGCTGCAGAAATAGGACTAGAAGAAATTTGCAGGTTGCTAATCGAGAGAGGAGCTGACGTTCATGCCAAAGACGAAATCGGAGTAACGGCGTTGCATCTAGCCATTCGGGAGACACACAAAGATATAGTACAAATCCTCATAGATCAGGGTGCCGATGTCAACGTGAAAACTAAAGAGGGCGCGACAGCGCTCCATTGTGCTGCGCAAGTAGGATTAGTACAAATTCGCAGGTTGCTCATTGAGAGAGGAGCTGACGTGGATGTCGAAGACAACAGTAGATTAATGGCGCTCTTTGAAGAAATTCAGGCGAGACACAAAGATATCATACAAATCCTCGTAGATCATGGTGTCGATGTCAACGTGAAAACTGGAATGGGCGAAACACCGCTTCATTTTGCTGCGCAAGTAGGACTAAACGAAACTTACAAGTTGCTACTCGAGAGAGGTACTGACGTGGATGCCGAAGACGAAAACGGATTAACGGCGCTGTCTGAAGCCCTACAGAAGAGACAGAAAGATATCGTACAAAGCCTCGTAGATCAGGGTGCCGATATCAACTCGAAAACTGAAATTAGCATGGAGACACCGCTTCATATTGCTGCGCAAGCAGGACTACAAGAAATTTGCAGGTTCCTACTCGAAAAAGGCGTTGACGTGAATACTCAAAACGAAAAAGGAGAAACGGCACTGCACCTAGCCATTCGGAAGGGACACAAAGATATTGTACAAATCCTCGTAGAACGTGGTGCCGAAATCAACGTGAAAACTCGAATAGGCGAGTCACCGCTCCATTTTGCTGCGCAAGTAAGAGTAGACGAAACTTGCAGGTTGCTAATCCAGAGAGGAGCTGACGTGCATGCCGAACACAAAAACGGATTAAAGGCTCTGTTGGTAGCCATTCAGGAGAGACACAAAGATATCGTTCAGATCCTCGTAGATCAGGGTGCCGATGTCAACTTAAAAACTGAATGTGGCGAGACACCGCTCCACTGTGCTGCGCAAGTAGGACTAAACGAAACTCACAATTTACTAGCCGAGAGAGGAACTGATGTAGATGTTGAAGACAAAAGTGGAAGAACGGCACTGTACCTAGCCATTCTGAAGACACACAAAGATATCGTGCAAATCCTCGTAGATCAGGGTGCCGATGTCAAATTGAAAAGTTGGATGGGCGATACAGTGCTTCATTTTGCTGCGCAAGTAGGAGTAGAAGAAACTTGCAGGTTGCTACTCGAAAGAGGCGTTGACGTGAATGCTCAAAACAAAAAAGGAGAAACGGCACTGCACCTAGCCATTCAGATGAGACACAAAGATATAGTACAAATTCTCGTACATCAGGGCGCCGATGTCAACGGGAAAACGTCATGGGGCGACACACCGCTTGGGTGTGCTGCGCGAGAAGGACTAGAAGAAACATGCAGGTTGCTAATCGACAGAGGTGCTGACGTGCATGCCCATGACGGAAGTGGAACGACAGCACTGCACCTAGCCATTCAGCAGAGGCACAAACATATCGTACAGATCCTCCTAGACCAGGGTATCGATGTCAATTTGAGAAATCAAAGGGGCGAGACACCGCTTCATTTTGCTGCGCGACTAGGACAAGAAGAAATTATCAGGTTGCTAATGTACAGAGTTGACGTTGATGTCGAAGACAAGAGTGGATTAATGGCGCTGTTTGAAGCCATTCAGAAGAGACACAAAGATATCGTACAAATCCTCGTAGATCAGGGTGCCGATGTCAAATTGAAAACTAAAACAGGCGAGACGCCTCTCCATTTTGCTGCGCAAGTAGGACTAGACGAAACTTGCAGGTTGCTAATCCAGAGAGGAGCTGACGTGCATGCCGAAGACGAAAACGGATTAAAGGCGCTGTTGGTAGCCATTCAGGAGAGACACAAAGATATCGTTCAGATCCTCGTAGATCAGGGTGCCGATGTCAACTTGAAAACTGAAACAGGCAAGACGCCTCTCCATTTTGCTGCGCAAGTAGGACTAGACGAAACTTGCAGGTTGCTACTCGAGAGAGGAACTGACGTGGATGCCGAAGACAAAAGTGGAAGAACGGCAATGCACCTTGCCGTTCAGAAGAGACACAAAGATATCGTACAAATCCTCGTAAATCAGGGTGCCGATGTCAACTTGAAAACTGAAACAGGCGAGACGCCTCTCCATTTTGCTGCGCAAGTAGGACGTGACGAAACTTACAGGTTGCTACTCGAGAAAGGAACTGACGTGGATGCCGAAAACAAAAATGGAAGAACGGCAAGGTGCATTGCCGTTCAGAAGACACACAAAGATATCGTACAAATTCTCGTAGAACATGGTGCCGATGTCAATTTGAGAAATGAAAGGGGCGATACACCGTTTTATTTGGCTGTGCAAGAAAGGCAAGAAGAAATTTGCAGATTGCTAATCAGAGGAGGTGCTGACATAGATGCCAAAGAGGAAGATGGAAAAACATTACTGCACACAGCCATTCAGGAGAGACACGAAGATATCGTGCAAATCCTCGTAAATCAGGGTGCCGATGTCAATTTGAAAACTAAAACAGGCGAGACACCGCTCCATCTTGCTGCGCAAGCCGATCTAGAAGAAATTTGCAGGTTGCGACTCCACGGTCCTGTCCTATGGTTTGAAACCACTCAGAAGAGACACAAAGATATCGTGCAAATCCTCGTAGATCAGGGTGCCGATGTCAACGTGAAAACTGTAATGGGCGAGACACCGCTTCATTTTGCTGTGCAAGTAGGAGTAAAAGAAACTTGCAAGTTGCTACTCGAGAGAGGAACTGACGTGGATGCCGAAGACGAAAACGGACTAACGGCGTTGCATCTAGCCATTCGGGAGACACACAAAGATATCGTACAAATCCTCGTAGATCAGGGTGCCGATGTCAACGTGAAAACTAAAGGGGGCGAGACACCGCTCCATTGTGCTGCGCGACTAGGATTAGAAGAAATTCGCAGGTTGCTAATTGAGAGAGGAATTGACACGAGTAAGCTCGAAGACTTCGGTAAAAAAACGGCACTGCACCTAGCCATTCAGAAGAGAAAGAAAGATATCATACAAATCCTCATAGAACATGGTGCCGACGTCAACTTGAAAATGGAAGGAGGCGAAACACCGCTACATTTTGTTATGCGAGAAAGACAAGAAGAAATTTGGAGGTTGCTAATCAAAGGAGGTGCTGACGTGAATGTCAAAGATATAGATGGAAACTCGGCACTGCACCTAGCCATTCAGAAGAGACACAAAGATATCGTACATATCCTCGTAGATCAGGGTGCCAATGTCAATTTGAAAACTGATAGGGGCGAGACACCGCTCCATTTTGCTGTACGAGAAGGACAAGAAGAAATTTGCAGGTTGCTACTCGCGAAAAAGGCGTTGACGTGAATGCCAAAGAGGAAAGGGGATACACAGCGTTACATGTTGCCGCTGAAAGTGGTCAAACATATTTCATAGAAGTTCTCTTGAATTGGGGCATCGACATCGATGCCATAAATGTGGATGGTAATACTGCACTTCATCTTGCATCCCGCGCCAATAAGTATGAAGCCGTTCTGACTCTCATAGATAACGGGTCCGACGTAAACATTATTAACAAAAACCATAAAACAGCGTTGCACTTACACTGTTCTAAGTTTAAACGTATGTACTGTTTTCCCATTATCAAGGCACTAATTAAAATGCAGATTGTTAGCTTGAACATGAATAACGGAAATGTGGAGAATCTTTATCTCACTATGGATTTAATCGTGCCGCCTCAGTTCGTGAAGAATTGTATTGAAGAGATAAAGAGAATGAAAAGCACAAAAATTAACGATAGTATCCTAACATTCCATGATATCCTAACAAAACGCATAGACCAAATAGCATTATACGCGAGAAATGAAGATGTTGTTCAGGTTTTGAAAGAGGGCAATTACCGTAGAGAATTTCCTAAGTACGAAGACATAATAGAACGTCGTTTCAACAGAGGTATGGTACAAAAGAAGTTGTTAGATGTGGGCGTTATATTTCTCCGCCGTTACTTCACCAGAAATTATGATTTACCTTGTATTCAAAGAATATTAAACTACCTCAGTAACCTGGACCTAATGAGTTTGAGAGATGCTTGTAAAGACATACGTTCTAACATTAACGATACAACAAAACGGGAAATACTGTAATATTTACTACTTACTATTGTTATACTTGTTCATTAATATTTTGATACCAATAAATAGACATTTTGTGTTTTATTTACGATATTTTCTCTTTCCTTTCCATCCCCTAGCTTCACTTCGCAGCTGTTCTCCATTTCAGTTCTCCGTAGTATAAATTATTTCTATTGAAATATATTCTGTTTTATCAGCTGTCTTTCATCTTCTAACGTTTCTTCTTGTCATCTTGCCTGTAATGATGTTCTTATTACGCTTGCCTTTGGAATTATGTCTCACGTCTAGCGCTTGGTTCTTTGGAAATATTGATTGCATCAAACTCAAATGCTCTCGCATCAGATTAGACAGTCTAGCGGAAGTATAAATTCTTTCCAAGTTGTATTATTAATTACGAAGTAAATTCAGTGAGGGAAAGCATAGCGAAATATCTAAAAACAAACGATCGATTCAATTTTCGTACTCTGGATTATATACGTGCATTCAACTGATTATTTGAAAATTTTGCAGTGTGCAGTGTGCACGCTTTTCGGCGCGTTGCGGTGTCTCGTTCAGTGGCATTAGTTCGGCAGAGCGGGGTGCCGTAAGACAAGGGTTAATAAAAATTGTTACATCAATTTTTTATACAAATCGTTCATGAGACTTATATACGTGTCTAGGATGTACACACATTGTACTTCAGTATAATCAGCATAATTTGAAACGTCGTTTTAATAGAATGCACATGATTTCACATTGAGAAGTTATACATGCTGGAGAGAAAGATCATGGAACGCAACGGAAAAGACGGAAGGATATTGGAATACCAACTAGGAGTGCGGTATTTAATTTGGTTGGAATTAATTTACCACCAAAAATAGAGTAATTGATATTATAAAATAAAGAACAAATAGAATACTTGGATCGTCGCAAAGTATTGTTCCTATTCTTATTACTTTTTGCCCATCCTTTTTCTTTTCATATTTTTAATTTAAAAAGGATTTTTGTTATAGAGAATGAAACTTCTGAGACAGGTATGAACAAGTTTTTAAATTTATATTTCAAGTTTTTTTCAGCAAGGTAAGAGTCTAGATTAGAATTTCTGTACCTCGAATTGTACATCGATCTATCAATAATTTAATGTATGTCGCCTACAATTGGACTTTGAAAATTGGGATTAGTAATTTGTTGAAGGTACATGAAATAAAAATGCCAATATTCATTTCCATTAATTTATTAATCAGATATTTACACATTTTTACAATAAATTAGATTCGGAACAGAGGAAATTTATTTCAATAGAAGTCCATTTAGACAATGTTATGTACATGCGAAATAAGAAATAAAGAGAAAATAGTCAGCATCTCCTCGGTGGTTCTACTTTTCAAGGCAACCAAGTGGCTACATAGTTAAGTTGTGAATAAAGTTCTATACGCAATACGAGAGTAAAGTTGACCATTCGCGCGGGTGATTACTAAATCCACCCGCGGGAATAATCAACGATCGTAATTTTGGTTTTGCCTCAATGCGAAAAGGATTAAATCCAGTCTTTCTTTCCATGACTCCGTTTCTCCTCACGAAACTCACTCATATAGACATTCTCTTAATAAATATTGAGAATTATTAACAATATGCGCGCAATATGCGTAACATTGGCTAGCTGGCCATCACTACGCATTTGGGTGATACCGGTTATAATATTTTCAAATTCTATTTTCAATTTTTACGCGCGGTCTTAGAAGCGACGGGCCAACTCCGAATTAATCTTGAGGATACCCGAGCCAACCTACCGTGGCTAGGCGCGGGCTCTACACATGCTCTCATTGGTCAGTGTTTTTCGTTAATAATTCAAAAACCATGCCTCACTTTCCATTTTGCCAAAAGAAATTGTTGTTCAGAAACGCTTAGAGAATCACGTCTCTTCAGTTCTAACACTTTTTCTGGGACACCCTGTATAAGTCTATAGAATTGACACATTTATCATTACCTCTCCTCGTGGCGGGCAATAGAACTAGACAAGGCCAGGCGAAAGCATTGTTTGGCATAGCAATATCTTTGTATTTTTTATTAACAAAATAAGTGCAATGGAGGTCGGCGAGTTTACATCACGTAAAAAGAGTACCAACTGGGATTCTTGTGCAGTAGAACATTGTGGGAGCAGAGCAAATAAAAATTCAAACCTTAGTTATCATCGCTTCCCTCGCGCAAACGAACGCTTTGTAAACAAACAGAACCTATTTGGCAACTCTGAGAAGATAGATCTCTTCAATGCATGGAAGAATGCTTTAAAAATCAGCAATATTACTAAAAGAACAAGAGTGTGCTCGTTGCATTTTAAAAAATCTGATTACTTATTCGCAGGTAAAGCTTCTTTTTACAAAAGAGTTAAGTTATCTTGTCACATTTTAATATGATACGATATGATTGTGAACATTTTTCTTTGTAGATGTTCAAGCAAGTAGAAGGTATTTGAAAAAAAACGCAGTACCTTCTTGTAATCTACCAGGTGATGAAATTAAAAAGATTAAGGAAGAAAAAGATAAAGCAAGATTAGAAAGGCGAGAAAAGCGGAGTGATGCAAGCAATAGCATAAGTAGCATTAGAACGAATGAATCGTTAGAAGCAAGTACAGGACAAGCAGTGGATACAGTCGTTTGTGTAAAAAGTGAGAATATTGTAATGCTGAAGGAAGAAGTCATTCATGAAGAAAATGAGATACAAGAAAATATGTACATTGGACAAAATGTAAATGATGAAACCAGTTCAGAAATTGATGCGACTCAACATTTCTTAAGCGATATGCTAGTGAAATCTGAAACTCCAGAGCCATTAGTGAAAGATCAAATAGTACAAGTAAACACTGATTGCTTATTGCCAAATATAATGAGAAGTTTACAAAATAATAAGCAATTGAGTACTGCAACAGGTCTGGAATCATTTGAATTATTAAATACTATTGTAGACATAGTAAAAGACGTATCTAATAATAAATTTGAACATTACAATATGATAATGAATACAAGAGATAGAGTGATCATGACATACGTGAAGTTAAAACAGAATATCTCATACGATTTTCTAGCAGTTCTTTTTGACTGCTATTCATCAAAACATTGTCAACATATTGTCGATGAAATGATAAAGATATTGAGCAAATGTTTAAAAACAGCAATTCCATGGCCATCAAGAGAAGAAATCTCGAAAAATTTACCAAAATGTTTTGAAGGTTTTGAAAATGTACGAGTGGTTCTGAACTGTACAGAAATTTTTATACAGCACCCTGCAAATCTCTGCTGTCAAGCACTAACGTATTCACATTACAAGAATTCCGATACTATAAAAGTAATGACGGGTGTATCGCCAGCTGGCAATATTACATTTGTTAGTAAAATGTACGGTGGGAGAGCAACGGACTCTGATATATTTCATCAAAGTGATCTAATTAAATTACTAGAGCCTGGTGATGGAGTCATGGTGGATCGTGGATTTTTAATCGATGAAGTGTGTCGAGTCAATAAATGGAAATGCATCAAACCACCATTTTTAAAGGATGAAAAACAGTTTACCAAAGAAGAGTCACTTTTGACTTCTAAAATAGCCGCAGCTCGTGTACACATTGAACGATTAAATGAAAGAATGCAGACTTTTAAAATCCTTGGATCATCAATGCCCTCAACGCTTGTGCCTCTTGCAGAAGACATTTTTACAGTAATTTGTGGCACAATTAATATGAGTGCACCAATTTTAAATGATGATGAATTTATGGATTCACAATGAACCATTAAATCATATAATCATCGAAGGACGCTGTAGCGATCCGAAAGCAAATTTGAGTCTGGAGATGGCAGCTTGACGCCGGCAACTGGCGTACATGGAACTACACAAAATGGTAATCTTAAATTTATGTATACTTGCTTTTATTTCGAGTATTTTTTCTTTTATACTGAGAGACTTTATTTACGAACACCGACGAAGGATTATTAAACAGAGTTAATGAGGCTTTATGCAGGCAATTTTTGATGCCCTTTAGAATATATTGCCACTGAAATAAAATAAATGGAAATAGAAAGCAAGACACTCGTCGGTGCCGAACAGTTGCCAGATGCAATAAAGATCCTAAACAATTTTCTTCTTAGAACTCGACTAGTTAAGAGATAATTGGCGATGAACGAACTAATTAATTGATTAGTCATGAGGTATTCGAGATGGAAGAAAATTGTATACGACCTTTTTGCAGGAAACGGCAGTACCTACAATTTTTATTTGAAGTATTTTTCGAAATTCTGAAAAAAGAATTTAAATTTTTTCAAAATTTTGTCATGGTACCCCGTCAGATTCTTTAAAATTCTTGTTTTTCTTTCGTAGCTCCAGTCATCAGCTGAAAATAATGCCGTTTGCAGTTTCGCATGCTCAGTCGAATAAGCAAATGCTCAGTCGAATAAGCAAATGCTTATTCGAACAAGCAAATGCTTATTCGAAGAAGAAATTCTTATTCGACCGAAGGA